GTTTAAAACTACTCTGGGTGCTTGCGCACCCAGAGCCCCGGGGATTCGGCGCCTATGACTCTCTACTTTCGAGGAGTGTGGATACTTCAAGTGCACATTTCAGCAGAAGGACCATTTTAATGTTTCGATTTTGTCCCCCACAGGAGTCACTCCATAATATAAGTTTCTTAACGGTTTTTGAGACATATTTTGCAATATATAACAGCAAACAAGAGCCCACCTCTTGGGCACCGCGACCCGCCTGTCCTTCAAGCCACAAGTTGAAAGTAGATTTTGCTTCTTTCCCTGCATATATCCCGCAGTTGTAGAGCCACAACTGCTTTTTATAAAATATTATGTTTGTATTAAGACGTGGTAGTGGGAGTGTCTTCTCCATATCAAAAGTCAGTGTTTCTATTTCATTACTTTTGGTTGCTTTCTTAATATCACCGTTCATTTTGTCTCTGGATTTCTCTGCTTCTGCCAGATGCATGCTATGTTCTTTATAGCGAAAGTATTACACTTGTTACAGGTGTCCTTCTTCGGTTGCTTCATTTTTAAATTGAAGTCATTTAAAAAAATTTTCTTATAGGAGGAGAAGCTGATTGTATTTACATTTTCATCTTTGTAAAGTTTATACATAATCGTAAGTATTGTTTCTTCTGCTAAGTATTCCTGTTTGTCTTTCCTTGCTCTACAGTAGTGAGAATTAAAACGGGGAAATTTATTAATATGATTGATAATCGCGCTTCTTTGCTCATCAATAATTTTGTTGTGACCACCAGCAATACCTCGACGATCAAGTGTTGATAACTGTCTAACCTTACAGACTGATGTGTAAACACGTTTAGTTGATATCTGTAGCGTTTTAACAAACATATTCCTACAAACCAGATGCTTTTTAATAAAGTACTGTCTGGAAAACTGTCGCTTTTCTGGATTTGTGGCCGTACTTTTTCTTTTTACACTTTCCTCCCTAACGCATGTCGATAAGTAGGTTGTTTGAACGTTATAGTCCTTCAAGTTCCAATAGTGATCGAAAAAATACTTTCTCTCATCAACAGATACCTTCTGGTCGAATTTCGTGGCACAGGAGCATTTGTTATCAATAAATTGTTTTGACTGAACAAGTTTTCCTCTAGCTGAATAATATTCTTTATTGCTGTTTGTGAGTCTCTTTCTCGTCGACCTGTCTTGTCCCTTATACTTTCTTTTACTTCCTTTTTTTGGGCGTCCCTTATATTCTGCGACAGCAGCGATGCTGTGGTTTGTTTTTTCCTCTGTATTTTCTACTGATGACACTTTTTGTTGATTATTCTCAGAGGATTCATCACAGAGTTCATCAGAAGAGTTTGGCTCTTAATCCTTGTCCTTGATAGTATCATCGTCGGAGTCTTCAAAGCATTCAGTATCATTAACTTCAATATTGTGATTTAACGTTTCAGTATCGTTAACGTTTTCAAAAGGTTCCTGTAAGTCGGAACTTTGGTATTCATTATCTGTACTAGTATTTGGAACGCACTCTTCTAAGCCCTGTAAAAACATAAAACAACTAAGAGTTAACAGTCCTAAGTATACCTTCACTGATATTGAATTATTAGCAAACTGACAGAACAAAAACCCCCTTCTACTAAGTTGCAGTACTAACTACATAAATTCATCAAGTAAACAAGAAGGGGCGCTACTGACTTTGTTTGCACATAACTCAACTATATTCTAGTTAAAAAAGATACACTTACTGTGTTGGCTTCGGTCTCCAGTTCACCAGTGCTTTTAGTAGAAATGTGTGGCTTATATTCCCAACAATCTGTAAACCATGTAAAAATGTAATATTGCAATAAGAAACCAACCTTCACTTTTGAGCACATAACATTTGCAATAAGGAACCAACTGCACTTTTGATCAAATATATCAAATTGCTTTAAATTTTAAGTGCAAATAATAGTTAACATAATCTAGAATTAGCACTGTAAACAGTACTCACTACTAAAATAAGAAAACAACAATTTTTACAAGAACAATAATTGTTGAGGTTATGATTTCAACGGTAAAGTATAACAAAAAAAAACAGATTTTCCAATTGAACTTACCGAAGTGCCTGGGACTTCTGACGAAATTGTCATGACTCCTGCTTTTCTAACTTTTTTCATTATTTGTAGTGTTCTGTTGCTAAACATTTTTAAATAAATAACCAGCACTACTTAAACACTTGTAGCAATCAACATTCACTCCAAGAAGCATTGGTTCGCCCAAAATACAAACATGACAAATGCTGCCTTGCAATAAAGAACCAACCTTAATTGGATCTTTCTTGAAAAATACAGAAACCACGCTTTAAAATGTTCAGTTGGTTCTTTAGACCAATAGATGGCGTCAGTATCAAATCAGTGCCTGGTTCTTTGTTGTAAAATGAGGGATGCAGTATTATGGTTTAGAAGAACTGGGTAACTCGTTTTCGGCCAAAATGTCGTTTGGTTCCTTGTTGCATAACGGGGTCCAATTCATGTCCCATTTAAATACCATGGGGTTTTTGTAATTTTTGCAATCAATTTTTTCGTTCCTCAACCAGCTCATACAAAGTTGCGGCAATTAATTATTTTTGTAGTGAATTTAACGCTCTACAAAAAATTCTTAGTAATTTTTTTCATAAATTCACTTGTTTAAAAGTTATTCAAGCTCAAAGTTGAATATATATCTCGGTGAGATGAAGTCTCACCGAGATATATCTTCCATAAGCCATATAAAGTTATAATAGAACAAATAGAAGAGCCAGAAGTGGCAGGTACGATTCATATCTACACTGACGGTTCTAAAACAAACCAAGGCTCAGAATGCGGAATATTCTTAAACCTAAACATAAAATGGGCTGTGAGCAAAAGTGCCAGTGTATTTTAAACAGAGCTAACGGGGATTCTCATAGCAGCAAAAGAAATAACCAGAAATAATATCACTGGAAGGAACATGCTCATCTATACAGATAGCAGACAAGCACTACTCACCCTGAACAGACCACGAATTTATTCAGGGTTAGTACTAGAATATCATGAAGCTTTGGCCGAAGTATCCATCAACAATGTGGTCACCTTAAGATAAATCAAAGGTCACGCCAAATCGAAAGGTAACCGTCTTGCCGATTCACTAGTCAAGAAAGCAGCCAACCAAATACTTTTTGGACCTGGCCTTTCTATTGGCCTGACAAAATCGGTAGTGACAGATCTAATTAAAGAACATTCCCTTGTGGAATTCAAGGAAAGAAACTGCAGAGTTGCCAGGGATCTCTTAAGTTATCTTGACAACACTGCAGCAAATAAATATTTGACTATGACTAGACAGAATATGCGTCTGGTCACAGGCATTCTGACTGGTCATTGCCAAGTACGGAAGCATCTACATATCATTAGTCTGTCAGAATCTGCACTATGTAGAGGGTGCGAACAAGAAGATGAGACCATCGATCATATCCTTTACGATTGCCCAACGCTCTCATTTATTAGAAGATTTGTGTTCGGCGAGTATCGGCTAAGACCGGCCGATATAAGAGAAGCACCTCTTGGCGACGTTGTCAACTACATTAAATCTGTAGGCTGGCTGACGAGCTAGGAGGTGTCTATCATCTTAGGGGGATGCACAATGAAGCCTAAATGCTGTGGGGGTAACCCACCCTCCACACGTTACAGATGCAGAAGCTCAAAGTTGAATTAAAAATAACCTATTAATTTTATTTGTATTTTGACTGAAAAACTATCATTATTTTTTTACAATTTATTCTTTATTGCAAAAATATCTGATTCAGCTATTTTGTTGTCTGTAAAAATTATTAAAAAGAGGAAAGTAGAATTTATTAAGAAGAAAGTCTGAGAAACTAGAAATTTTGTATTTACAATAATTCGAATGAAAAAATTAAACTTATAGTTACGCATTGAAGAAAAATTTAGTACCTTGACTAGTCGGCTCAGTGTGTCGACTGCGTTCAGTTATTAGAAAAAATCTCTGTTGTCGAGTATTGTAAATGTTGCTTTTATTATTACATTATAATCATATATAATTTATATTATTTTTTAGAATCAGTGTTGTATAATTGGGTGGAGCGAAAAATAGAAGTTTCGAAAATCGTTTTGGAATAGTGCGCAAAAGTTGCCAATTGGTATTACAAAACTAATGTTTATTTTCGGGTTTTCAAACTTTTTTCATCTTCTGCCCTTTACCGGGCTTAGAAAAAATAAAAAAAAAATAAAATATCCAATAGCCTTATTTATTTTTCTTTTTTTATTAATATTGATACTGAGAGTTAACGCTACGGCAAATACAGCAGTTCTTCGTTTGTTTAAACAATTTTCGATTTATATACCATGGGGAGGTAACTGCTCGACGAGTTCCATCCCACCCTCCCTCATCTATTTAGTCTCTTTTTGAGTTGTTCAAAATCATCTGTTTCTTCCACGGGTATAGTCTGAAGGACATCCAAAGCGTCTCCTCGAAGGGCGATGGTCAAATTTATGGCCTTCTCTCGTTCATACCACTCGTTTGATCTGGCAGCTGTTTCGAACTGCTTAAGGTAGTTCGTCCATGACATCTTCCCGTCAAAAGTTGTGGCTTTAACACGAGGAGAGTTTACAGCTCCTTCCAATTTCAACTTCGACTCCACCTCATGGCACATTATTTCACCGTTCTTGGTTTGGTCTACGTGTTCCATTTCTTCAATCTTCTTTTCCATTTCTTTTATTTTTTCCTCAACGGAAGACATTATTTTCTCCTCGACTGATGATATCTTATTTTCCATGGAAGAAATTTCAGAAGACACTTTTTCTTCTAAGGAAGAAATGTTAGACAAAAATTTATTTTCCATACAAGACATTTTGTTTTCCAAGTCGGAAGAAATTTCGTCTTTTAAAGAGGAGATATCAGAAGAAACTTTAGTTTCTGAAGAAGAGATTTCGTTTTTCACGGAAGAAACATCAGAAGACACTTTTTCTTCTAAGGAAGAAATGTCTGAAGAAACTTTATTTTCCAAAGAAGAAATGTCTGAAGAAACTTTATTTTCCAAAGAAGAAATATTAGAAGAAATATCGGTTTTCATGGAAGACATATCAGAAGAAATTTTATTTTCTATGGAAGACATTTTAGTTTCCATATCGGAAGAAATTGAAGAAATAATAACAGAAGATGCATCATCCGAAAATAGATACGTTTCCGGATTCAATCCTTCACTTTCTAGTGCTTCCTTAAGACGTTCTGCCAGTTCTGCCTTTTACCCTGTCGTCTCCAACTCACGATCTTCTAATTCCAAACGTAGCTCGGTCACTTTTAAATCACACAGTCTTTTAGCCATTATTGTCCACTATTTATTTACACTATTCCACTTCTCGACACCAATGTGATGTTTGTTTATTTTCAAACAACAGTTTATTTATTAATAATTTATTTAAACACTTATTTATTTATAACACTATTATTCTAATTTATATATACTTCGAATGTCTTTAAACTGATCACTATTTATATTCACCACTACTAATTACTATTTATCTGCACTGTCCATATAACTACTGACTATGATGGCTCGCCTCCACCAATTTATATACAAAATTGGTGGCCTAGAATGCTCCCCCACCAAAATTTCCAGTATGTACCAGAAACGCTATCACGTTCTAGAAATATTATTTCGTTGACCCTGGAATGTTCGCGAAAGTGTCTCCACCATAGTCGTCCCATAGGTTTGGTCTTAAGGGGGTTCAATTATGTATAATAAGCGGACAAGTTGAGCCTCAAAGGCCAAATAATACAGAGAGGGACTTGGAGTATTAGAGCATGACTGAATAATGAACTGGCTCACATTACATTATTTAAAAAATAAATGGGTTACATTAAATATTTTAATATTTAATTAGGACCAGGTAATACTAATGGTAATTATTATAGTAATATTTTTTGCAAATTAATTTGTATATTTAAACTCTCATTAAATGTACCTATATCTAATTTGATAATCCGGCAACCTCCGACTTATGTGACAATTACCTGAGGATTTATAACCTATTTAAAATATGAGTATAATTCTTACATTAAAATATATTTTATTTGTTTTAAACGTTGTTACAATGTGGACCAAAAGTTTAAAACAATTACAAAATTTTAGTTTTAATAACTGCAGCACATATTTTAGAAAACACGGTTCAACATCTGGACAGGAGAGTAAAGGCATATAAAACAATAATATTAATTGATTTATTTATGACTTATCTTATTTATTACTTTTAGCCTACAAATATTATGTTGAGCGTTTTGTTCATGTACCAACTATTAGTTTTGATTATAACTTAAATGGTTATATCTTGGAATCTGTTAATCTAATTAGATCCCACTTTGGGCTTTAATCAACACATACCTAAGACTTTCTATAAATTCATAAAAATGTTAGGTTTTATCACAAGGCTTATACATGATTTTACTGATACAATTGCAATTAAAGTCCTGTTTTTCTTCAGAACGGTTTCCACATTACATAACGCACAGCAGAAACATAGAAAATGTGCATCATAAATTTCTCAGATACATAGCCTATAAATTGGGTGTCCTTTGCGAGTATGGTTTGATAGAAATTTTTTTAAACATCCCTTTTTTGGAAACTAAGAGGAAACTGAGAGACCTGACATCACTTTTCCAAATTATCAATGGCAGATGCAGCTGTACTAAACTACTAACAAAAATAAATCTTTATGTTCCAACCCGCTCAACTCGACAGCAACAAATATTTAACCTTCCGCCGATAACGTTATGTCTGTCAGACCGACCGATTTGAATTTTCGCGGTTTAGTCCTAACGCATTCTCGGTCGAAGCTGTGCTTTATAGTACCTTCCGCGACTAAGGTTGTCTATTCAGTCGTGAAGTCGCAAGCAGAAAGTGTGCATGGTTTCAGAGATAATTTAATTTTATTAGGCGATTCGGTCTCAGAAATGGACGTTATCTCTCGTGCATTATTTTAGGGTAAGAATAATTTTATTAATTTTTGCTTCGGTAATAATTTATATTACATTTTAGTGCAATAATTTTATAATGGATTTTGAAAGGGACCAAGAACGTTTATTAAGACTTTATGAAGAGGTTTTAACTGGTTCAGAGGCTGAACCAGATGATGATGATGAAAACAGTTTGGTAGACGACCATCTGAAAATTTTAGAAGATGTAGCCTCGGGACAGGAGTTCTCCGATAATGATGAAAATTTGGTTGTTAGTGAAGAAGAGAAATACTAGTTCGAGGGGCTGCAAGAATTCCTTGTCTCATTGGTAAAAATGGAACTACGAAATGGCGAAAATATCCTGCAACAATGCCAAATGTACGAAAAAGTGCCGAAAATATTGTCGCCCATTTACCAGGTCCTAAAGGAGTTATCCGGAACAAAAATAAAGCTTCAGAAATATGGGAATGCTATTTTTAGAGACAAGTGTACACTCGTTTCGTACTGTCAAAAAAAAACAAAAATGTCTTATTACTATCGACAATGCATTACGATGCTCTTATTGATAGGGAAACTGGCAAACCAGAAATAATTATTGATTATAACCAAACGAAAGGAGGTGTCGACGTTGTTGACAAAATGTGTGACGCCTACAATTGCGCTCGTGCAACTCGTCGTTGGCCAATGGTCATTTTTTATAGTGCTATGAACGTCGCTGGAATAAATAGCTATATAGTTTATAATAGCAATAGTCAAACAAAAATCGATAGAAGAAGATTTTTAGAAAATCTAGGATTTCAGTTGCTTGATGAACATATTCGCCGACGAGCTCAACAGCAAAACATTCCTAGGACAATTCGTTTGCTCCTGAAAATAAAATTTATGGACGCTGTACATATTGTAGCACAAAAAAAAGTAGAAGAACAAAATATACTTGCAGAAATTGTAAGAAATATTTGTGTCTGGAGCACCTTACCTGGATTTTGCCAAGCTTGTTACGAAGATTATGAGGCCCAAAATGTTTAGTAATAGTTCCAGTAATCTATATGGTTTTCGAGAATAAAACTGTTTTTTTTTTTTTCATTATTTTACTACCTTTCTACTATGTTAATCATTCGTTTAGCTAAAAATTTGACTTTTCTTTTAATATTTTAAATTGAATAAAAATCAGTCTATAAAAATTAAATTTTTTTCTATTACCTCCTAAATTGTTTAAACAACAAAAAAATTCATACATTTTATATTCCAGCATAGATAATAGAGCAAATAATCATGTTATAATGAAACATTTTATTTCCGCAATTGATTTCCATTTTTTTTTTATTTTTTTAAAAAGTCGGTTTGATAGACCGACGTTATCTAAAATTTTAAAAAATTTCACGTTATCGGCGGAAGGTTAATGCACCTTTTTATCGTTTAAACCATACTTTCAGCAACTGTATTCCTGGAAAGTTAAGATAAGCCAACACTCATAACTAGAGCTAGGAATATATGCAAAACGCCATATTTTGCATATGTTGCATATATATACAATTTTTGATTTTGAATGCATACATTGACAATTTGTTAATTTTTTTGCATATAACAGACGTACTAATTGGCTGGACATATTAAAATTATGAAATTTGGACCAAAATAATATTTTGTGAAATGCCTTTACAGGTCGATTTCCTAAAATTTTGAAGGATTAACTTTTCCCTGTAATAAATTACGGTTAATGGTGTAGGTACTTGAGAGGATTAAATTATAAATATCCTCCTTAAAACAAATTTTGCTAAATATTCTTTCAGATAGTTGTATTAATATCTTCAAATTTCTAAATGACTCAGTTTACTTTCAACTTCATTTCAGTCTTTATTGTTGTGTTGTGTTAACCAGTGGGAAAAATGGCAAAATTAATTGAGTCGTGGGAAAAATCTTATTCAGATTTTGTTGTATAAGGTGATAACCATGTGTTTTGTAAAACATGTTCTAAAATTGTAAGTACTTTTTTATTTTATATTTTATTTTGACCTTTCACAATGGTAAATCAAACGTCAGTAAAATATAATTTCAACTCACAGTTAAAAAAAAGTAGGGCAACTTTACAACGTACGCATTTATTTAATTTAATTAAAACTTCAACATCTACAGGAATTTATTTGTTTTAGATTCCATTTAAAAAAAAGTTTCAAATCGACCAACACGCGAAAACATCCTTACATATATCAAAGCAGAAATCTAAAAACACTCGCAGACAAAGTCAACTTCCCTTGAAACAATATTTAGAATCTATATCGTCTAGAAGTGAACAAGCTATTTTTAATGAAGATTTATGCAAAGCATTAGTGACTTCGAATATCCCTTTAATACGATTAAATAATCCAAATCTCCGATCATTTTTGCAAAAATACTGTAAATTTAATATTCTGGAGCAAAGTATATTACGCAAACGTGGTGTTGACAGTTTGTACATTGAGACTTGAGATTACCGTTGGAAACGATTGCTTTATTATTGTGGATGAAACAACAGACTCTTGTGGTCGATATACAGCCCATTTAATGATAGGTTCATTACGCGAAGAAATGGAAATTGGTCCATATCTAATCGCTTCAAATCAATTAGATAAAACAAATAACTTGATAATAACTCGTTTTATCCAAACAGAATTGTCTTCCTTTTTTCTTACGGAAGCCGTTCCAACAGAAAAATGTTTATTGCTGTTATCCGATGCTGCTCCGTACATGGTAAAAGCCGCACAAAATTTAAAAAATGTTTTATGAAAACTTAATCCATGTTACATGTTTAGCTCATGGCCTTAACAGAGTTGCAGAAGAAATTAGGTCTAACTTTCCTTTAATAAATAATTTATTTAGTAATGTAAAAAAAAATATTTCTTAAAGCTTCTCTAAGAACTCAATTGTACAAAGAAAAATTTCCTGAATTACAGATGCCACCGGAACCTGTAATTACTCGGTGGGGTACCTGGCTTAAAGCTGACTTTTTTACGCAGTTAATTATGAAAAAATTAAAGAAATCATACTTGATTTTGATGATTCATCTAAGGGAATATCTAATACAAAGAAGTTGTTTCAAAATCACATATTACCAAAGCAATTAGTGTTTTTAAAAAATTATGCATTTGCACCCAAAATTATATTAGATTTAGAACAAAAAAATTTACCTTTGGTGACTTCCGTAAATTTAATTAAGACGTTTGAATCAGAGTGTAAAAATATCCAGGGCGATATTGGAATGGCGATTTTTCATAAATTTTCAAATGTAATTTTAAAAAATAAAGGATTTATTGTTTTAAGAAACCTTGCTAATATTTACTCTGGTAACTTTGAAGATATTAATACTATTCATCCAGATATTTCAAGATCATTTAAGTTTGCACCTATTACTTCTGTAGATGTCGAAAGGAGTTTTTATTTGTACAAGTACATACTTACTGATAGGATACAATCATTTAATACAGATAATTTAGAAAAACATCTAATTGTTCATTCTTTTTATAATAATGTTGATTTGTAAATAAAATTAGTTAATAATTAAATAATTATTAAGTATTATATTAGGTATTGTAAAATAAAACAATTATAAATATTAATAAACTATTTCTATCAAATAACAAATTATTCTTATTGCATATGCTCTGCATATTTTTCAATTTTTTACGCATATATTGCAGTATTTTGCGGCATATATATGTGCATATTTAACTACTTTTTGGGTGCATATATTCCTAGGTCTACTCAAAACGATTTTGAGATACTTAACACCCCCTTTCATAAATTTATAAAGCAATTACTTAGGACTGAGCTTTAATCTTTGATCTTTAATTTTTTATGTTTATTGTAAATATTTTATTCAACCTTATTGTCTTTTGTCTTTTCAAATCTTTTAAATTCTTTGCATATTTTATTTTATATGTAATCAGTTATACCACGTTTTATATTTTTTTATTTATTTTTCAAATGGGCTTGCCCGTAAATAAATAAATGAACTATTGTTACTCTTTGAAAAATCACCATAATTCATTTCCTTTATTAATTTTCTTTTGATTGTATAGTTCAAATATATAATTATATTCTTTCAATGTTTTCATTCCAATAATATTTACAAATAAATAATGTAATATACTTTGTTCATTATAAATGTTGTTCGTCTTTATTTGTCCTTGTATCTTTTTATTTTTCATTTGATTTACTGTTGTTATTGTTAGATAAATTTACCATGAAGATGTAACTCTGTTTTATCCTATATTTTCTAAATTGGTTATATTACAAAGTGACGTTTTTTTAATAATGTTTAATATTTTACGATGATCTTTAATGGATAGGGAATATTAATTTAAATTATTAAATAATTCTAATTCTTTCTCCCCCTTACTATTTGTTTTCGTCAGTTTTTCATCGGTTCTCTAAAATTTCAATTTACATTGTTTCCATAAATATTTATCAAGGTATGCCTGATGATGACATACTTAATTCAAAACGGGTCATTGATTAAAATAAATATTTAGCCACAGAATATAAAAGTTAAGAAGACATGTATTTTTTTATTAAGATATCTACGATACTGAATCACATCTAGGGATTTTTTCTTTTATTTTCAGCAGCTGATAAAATTTTACACACGTGGGTATTGTTAAAAACTTCGTAAAGACTTACCAGGAAAATAAAAAATTGTGCAATTTAAAAAAGTCTATTCGTTTTTCGTAAAATGTGAATATAAAAAAAGGAAACACACACATAAATCCTTAATATGCATATCAATAGAAAATAATTTGGCTACTTAATGTATATCCTTTGACACTAAGCTTGACGCAACTGCAATTATTTTTGAATCACTCTATATTCTGTATATAAATATATTTTGATAGCTTCTATCACTTTTTCTTTGATAAAAAATTGGTTTCTTTTATTGTATGCAATAAACATTAAAATGTAAAATCGATGAAAAATTTCAATTATACTAGAAAACAAAATGTATATTTCATGTTCGACAAGCATATAGAATAAAACGAATCTATGATTGATAGAGGATGGTAACGAATTCCTTTTGAAAATGATAATAAAATTCTCCTGGATCATCATATAATAAAATAGCCAACATTAATCTTGGGATAACGTATCGTGCTAAAAAATAAACGAGACCCTTATCAAATACTTTCTTTTCTTGTGTTGTCAGAACTGAAGGAGATTTTGTATTTCCATCAGATTAAAGTGAGTAGTATTTCATTTATTATAATCCCTTTTCTAAATTCAATAAATTACAGTGGCGTT